TCGGCCCTCCTCGCCCGGCGCCCCGGCTCTCGGCCCTCCTCGCCCGGCGCTCGGTGCTCTCAGAGGTCGGGCTCAGGGACACTCAGTGGGTTTCGAAGGCTCCAGCTCCAGGGCGAGCCTCTCTCTCAGGACTTGGTCTCAAGCTCCCACCAGTCAGGTCCTGCAGGGGATGGAGCACGCCCCCCCCTCAGCCGGGCCTCTTACCGGGGGCTCCACGCCATCCACGATGCTCTGGATCAGCCTCTTGAGCTCGCTGAGGGCCGTCCGCAAGCTGCCAGCTGGCACGTCCTTGGCAGACGAGGTTTCCGAAGACTCGTCCATCGAGGAGTCCGTGGAGACGGCCGAGTCGGCGCTGTCGTTGCCTCGAAGGTGTGAGCAGAGGTAGCGGACCTGGCAGTAGGCCTCCCAGAGCTGCAGTCTCAGCTGCCCCACGAAAGAATTAGTCTCGATTACGGGCTGGAGAGGGTGCTGCCACCCGCTCATCTTTTTCTAGTAAATGAACCCAAGTGTCTACGATCCTGTTCTGGCACAAATTCTTTTTTAAACCACCTGTTCCAAAAGTATGGGTAGTTCTATGGGCCCCGGACATCTATACAGAATCCCAATTCTTACGTTCCCTGCCCTCCAGCCCCTCCCATCTGCCAAATAAAGCGCTTCTCTCCCTAGGCGGCTGCTCTGGGGGAATCAGTGCACCATCCGATCTGGAAGGAGTGGTTATGAGAAGCAGCCAGTGGGCGATCACGAATGACCTAGGACCCTGTCCGTGTGAGAGGTGAGGCTAACGACCAGTGAACAAGCATTCCTACGAGGCTCCGGCCAGCAGGCCTAGCGGCTCGCACAGGCTCCCACTGAGGCAGCGGGCGCCGGGCAGCAGGGGGACGGCGGGGCTCCCAGTCAGGGCCCGCCCGGGGCCCCCCGTGAACCCCATGTGCTGGAGTGGCGGGAGCGGGGGGCAGCACCTGCTCTCTCTCCTGCTCCAGCTCCTCGGCCTCCATGCTCTGCTCGATCTCGGACAGGAGGGACGTGCTGGTGGCGGCCGAGCTCTGCAGGCTCCTCTCCTCGGTGAGCTCCTCCACCTTCCCCTGCAGCTGGCGGCAGGAGAGCCGCACCTCCTGCAGCTCCAGCTGGCTCTGGTGCAGCTTCCGGGAGACAACACAGGGGCCGTCAGGCCGGGGCCGCAGGGAGCCCGGCCAGAACCGCCCGAGCTCCTCCCTCCAACCCCCAACTACGGACAGATGCAGACGAGGCAGAAGCATGCTGGGCGACCCCAGGGGTCAGCGTCGGTGACGCTCAGATTTGGGGAATCCCACAGGACGAGCAGCGCAGGCTCTTCCGCAGACACATTTCAAGAAAAAAAAAAAGATAAAGGGGGAACCCGTAGGTTACAGAGATTTAAGAGACACCAACCGACTGCCATGGGTCGGCCTACTTTAATTTGTACCTCGATTCAAATGAAAAACATAAAAAGCAATTATGATTTTGTAAGACAATTGAAAATTTGAACCCTGACAGGATAGTTGATGATATTAAGAAAATCTTGCTAATTTTTAAG